AAAAATTTGGCCTTCCCGCCGCTCCTCATTCTGTTTTTCCCGAGACGAGAGCCATGTCCGGGGTGGAGGAGGCTTTCCGCAAGTTTGCGACCTACGGTGACACGGCCGCCAGTGGCAATGACATGACAGGGAAGAACTTCTCCAAGATGTGCAAGGAGTGTGGCGTCATGGACGGCAAGGCTGTGACCAGCACTGACGTCGACATCGTTTTCAACAAAGTCAAGTGAGTGGGCACGGACTGTGTGGGGGGCAGCAGTGGTGGGGGTAGACGCAGGGCCTGATGAGGGCTGTGAGCCCTTTGATCGTACTCGTGCCACCCTGCAGGACCAAGGGCGCCCGCACCATCACCTTCGCGCAGTTCCAGCAGGCCATGAAGGAGCTCTGTGGCAAGCGCTTCAAGGGCAAGGCACCTGAGGAGGCGCTGGAGGCCGTCTACGGCCTCCTGGACGGCAAGGAGCCTGCCAACGTGGGCGTTACGGTGAGCAGCCCCCTCCCCAAAGCACTTGGTGTAAGGGTGAGCCTGGTGCTGAGGCTGCCCTCCCTGGGCTAACCCCTGCCTGCTGTGGTGGCTGCAGAAAGCCACCAAGGCCGGCGCGGTGGAGCGGCTGACGGACACGAGCAAGTACACCGGCAGCCACAAGGAGCGCTTTGACGAGAGCGGCAAGGGGAAGGGGCTGGCGGGCCGCGAGGAACTCACCGACAACCGCGGTTACGTGGGTGCCTACAAAGGCGCCGGCACCTACGACAAGACGCACTAGAGCACCCGCTCAGCCAGGCTGCAGCAGGGCAGGGGGACAGGAAACACCGGACACTCATTAAAAACGAGAGCCTCGCACCTGCTTTGTTGCTATTATTTATTTTTTGTTTCTCTTTCATGACTCAGCTCTTGGAATAGGTAGCCCTACACAAGGTGGTTGTCCTCAGGCAGGCTTAATGGGTATGCTGTGTGTCCCACATGTCTCCCGCTCTTTCCTACTGCCACTGGTTTGTCCCACTGCCTGCAGGGAGCTTGTTCCAGGTGGGGAAGGCAGGGACCAGCCCGCGCTGTCCAAGCAAATCATATGCATCTATCTCTCCTAAGGCCTCAATTTCCTTGAATTACATGACTCAAAGAATGGCCAATGTGAAGCTCTGCAAAAACAGAGAGAATGTGTTGCATTAGTGCTTTTTTTTTTTTTTTTTTAATAGCTGGCAGGGACAAAGCTGTGGAAGCTCCAGGAACTGCCTCAGTTCTCTGTGCTGGTGCACGTGTACGGAAAGTCCTGGTTAGCATTAACTTGGGCACGATATGACACCAGAAGGTGACTTTTTTGCAGCATGATTCTGTCCGTGCTGCAGCCTGGGATGTGTCTCATGCAGTGGTACAGTGCTAAGGGGAATAGTAGTAGCCAGTCCTGCCTTTCCCTTATAAGCAGAAGCTACAGGAAGAGGAGGGGGGACACCATGCTTGCTCCCTGAAGAAAGCACAGCATGGACAGATGAAAAGAAGTCTGAAGGGCTGACTGAAGTTTCTTAAATAGTACCCAGCTATTCCATGTCCTTGGGGAAGCAGTATTATTGGTGGAACTCTGCTTTTAAAATAGGCAAACAGACAGACATGCATTGATAGCGGTCAACAGTGTTTGCTATAGGAAAGCCTTGTTGGTGAGCTCGTGCACCAGGAGAGGAAGGCAGGTGCATCCAGGCTTCTGGTGGTAGCACCTATGTGTCCCTTGCAGCTGCCAGAGGCCTCAGCTGAGCCCTGAGCAGCCTCAGGTGTCTTTACACTACACTACTGCCTTGTAATTTAAATACCTGCTCCATTTTTAAAGCCCCTTTTTGCAGGGTGGCCAATAGAGCGAGGCCCTTTAGAAGCTGCTAGGAGTGTAAGGTAGCTGTCCATGAACCATTCTTTTCTGGGATGACCTCAGAAAATCAGCTGCAAAAATTGATATTGTTAATCTAGGTGATTATAGCAATTTTAAGTCAAGGGCTTGAATCATTTTGATAGCTTTTCCCTTTCCCCAGTAGATGTGTAATTTGGAGCCACAGCTGCCCTGGTTTTCATCTTCACCATGGCCAGGTATAAGAGAAAGGCAAACTAATAATCTTAATTCTGCTCGCTGTCAACATCAGTGATCTGGTTTCCGTGGGCCATTTCTGATAAGAAAACTCTTTAACTCTTTTTATTTTCAGGGCAATTTTCTTGCTGTCTTTCAGTGCAAGACTGATATTAGTAACTGTTTGCCAGCTGCATGTTCCTCCAGGGAGCTGCAGCACAGGTCACTTGATGCCTCCGCTTGATACAAACCGGTTGATAACATTGATGAAATTTGCCCTCAGATAAAAACAAGATCTACAGATCTGACTGTGTAGTAAGAATAGAGTCAGGGGCAGAGGGCATTACCAATCACAGGTTGGATTAAATGGTAAGGGTACAAATGTGTGTGTGTGTATTAACCTCTTAAGCACTCTTCAAAACATGCAAGTGAGCGCTGTACTAGTGCTCAGTGAGCTGTGCTGCCATGCGGCCTAGCAGCAGGCGTCCTGACAATCCTGCTGCTGCTCAAAACAGCTGCACTTCACTCTGACAGAGGAGCAGAAAAGGAAAGAGCAGAGATTAATGCAGCTGCTGTTTGCTGGCCACGTGGGCTGGGTGCTCATACAAGTTGTCGTGATACTGACCCATTCTTTGCAAACCTGTTTTTGTGTGTATGTTTGTGTGTGAGCGTGTTTCTAACGTGATGGCGGATGTGGCTGGAGGCCCAGGGAACCCAGCACACAACTTATCTGCCTGCCATAGGTCCGAGGATGCCAGGCGGCTGCTTCTGCACTGCAGTGGGCTCTGTCCAAGAGCGGCCCTTTGGCACTGCATCGCAAGGACCAGGTGAGACTTGCAGTGCCCTCCCCTGCCACTGTCAAGCACCTGGGATGGTGGGCAGATGTAGGGGGTTAATGCTCTAAGCACTTACATACAGGCCTGGTCATGAGGTACTATTTGGATTCAACACCACAAATGCTGACAGCCAACAAAGCAATGCTTTCTCAATTTCCTCATTTTCTCTGCTTCTCTGGCTATGATGGCAAGTCCCGGGGAAGCTGTGCTGAGACTCAGAGCAGCGTTAATTATATGCCAAGGAACCACATGGGTATTCACATCAATTAACACAGCAATTATGACAGCAGAGGAAAACACTGGCTTGGTGAGTGATGCATGACACCAGCCTGGCTTCAGAGAGCTCTAGGTGGTTGGAGAGGTGTTGTTTCTAGTCAGTTGCTCTTTTCAGTACTGTGTGCCTTTTTTCCAGCAGTATTAGCCCATCTAAAGGAAGATAATCTCTTTCCTCGCACACCTCGCCTTTCTGATCGCTCCTTCTCTCCTTTGACAGTGCCAAATCCGGCTGCAAAGCTGGGATCCCATCACAGGCTACCTGGCTGCGACGGTGCCGGTGTTGAAGGCTCAGCGGTGGCTCCGTGCTCAGAGGAGGTGATGTTTGGCTGCTGAATGTGGCACAGCAGCTTCCCAGCAGCTGGCCCACAGGCAGGTACAGCAGGGCCCAGACCCGCTCACATCGCAGGCATGCGCGCATCCACTCTGACGATGCGGTGCAGCACCTGGGGAAGTGGTGGTATTGAACCTTGGTGTGGTCTTTTTCCACCTGAATCTTTGCCTCTAGTTTTGAGTTTCTACATTGTGGTTGTCAAGAAGCATATGTCTAGGGTTTTTTTTTTAATGTTTTATATTATTTTACTTTATTCTCCTACATGAGTGAGACGCTTTCTGTCCTGTCTGTACTTAGGGCTGGTAAGTATATGTGCTAGATCAGTGTAACCCTGCATCATTCCACACAACCACAGTCCTTTTCCAATACCAGACTTATGCAACATTCTCACGTGACTGTTAAAGATCCCTGAGCCATTATCTGTGTTCTTTTCAGTCTAGGAAAGGCATCTCTCGCACTCAGGAACTGCTCATCCCCTTTTCTGTGTATGTGGGACATGTTTCCTACTGCTTTATCTGGAATTTCTAATCCTGACATCAGTTAGAGAAAATGGGGACAAAGCATCTCCAAAATATTCAGTAACCATGCAAAACTAATATCATGATTTATATTCACATGGATCTCGCTTCAAAGTAAATGGTAAATAAATTAACATGGTACTTTGTACTGCATATTTTAGTAGGAATAACTGGAATGAGACACGCAGTGCTACAAAACTAAGTGTTTTTGAGATGAGTGCTCAAGTCTAAAAGTGTTCAAGCATTGCCACCTCCTGGCAGGGCCCTGCCGCACAGCCGCCTTAACCTAAAAGCAGACCCACGCTGTCATTTCTTACTCAAGACAACAACCACAGGAGTAGGTGATAGGTAATTCCCCCACTGATCCTACCAAATTTGAGGATCTTGAGGAGCTCTCTGTCTTCTGGCCTTTTTATTGTTATCTGTACTTACAGATGATCACCTCCCATCTTTGCTGAGGAGTTAAACAAAGGAAAGCTGTTGTTGTTCTTCCAGAAAATCTAAACAGTTGCCAGCACTTTTAAGGGAGGCTCCAGGGTGGTATATGACCGAAAACGTACATGGTTGATGCCTGTAATGCAGCAATCCTTACTCAGCAGTTACAGTGCATTAACTACTGCCACCTCTGCCCTTCCAGAGCTTGTGCCATCGCTTGCAGAGCAGTATCTAAGCAAGGCTTCAGCATAGTACTGAGCGTACCTGGCGGGAGTGCTCATGATGGTCCTAAATAATAACTCACATCAGAAGCAGTCCCAGGGTTTAGCAAACTTTTCTGTCATGTCACTAGTGGTTCAGTGTCAATAAGGGAATCCCAGGCTTTCCACAGAGTGAACAGTTATGGGGATTTGATATAGCTCAGCCCTATGTATTTGACAAAAGCACATACACAATTGTTTTATAGAAGAATGTCTTTAACCTCAGCTTAAAAATCAAACCCAGTTATTTCACAATATTTCATATCCTATAAATTGTAAACTTTTATTACAGTATTGTGAAGTTGGAAATATTTAAGCAACACCAAATCAGGACATTCATTCAAAAGGAAGTGGAAGAAATAATCCCCAGTTTTGCTGCATTAGGTAACACTTTGAGACATATATATATGTATATCACAGGGAAATTGAGTGCTGTCACTTGCTGGCTGGTGAGGATTTGTGCAACTGATATATGGCTGCTCTCCCATGAACGCACTGACGGTACACATAGAGCTGACAGTTTCTCTGAAAAAGGAATAATGTTAAAAATCACATACATACAACTATAGGCAATTTCTAGACACCTCTTCTCAGAAAATGCTTTTTAAAACAAAGTAAAACAAAATACCAATTAATCAGCTTCATTATAAATTATAGTTGGGTGAGGTCAAATCTTAAACCCAGTTCCTTCTACTGAGGGTTTCAGTAGCATATACTTTCTTATGTATCTTGCCTTTGACACTCAAAAATTAAACTACTAAAAATTGCCATTTATTTTTGGAAGAGCAGACTCTTCCAAACAGAGACAAATTATTTTACATTGAATCCTACATTTGTTTATAGTTTATCATAGAACACAAGTTAATACTTTCACACTCTTAATCACCAGCAGTTTCTTCAATTTCTGTAGATAGAAAATACCACTGCATCTCTAAGCAAATCCTGGTAATACCACAGTTAAACGCAGATAACCTAAACAGCATTACACAATGAATATATCTATCTCTAAACATTATTTTTCATATTCGTCTCAAACCTAATCCAGCAGATGCAATGTGCAGATTCCTGAGATATACATAAATGCCAGTAAAGTGACTGCTTGCAGGAAACAAGTTATATAAATTTTGACGCCTAGAAAACGAGACAGAACAAAGAAACATAAGGGTACAAACGGGAACAGAGGTTGACTACCTTATTTGTTGTTCTTATTACTATACTTAATACAGTATTGGAGACATTGCATTGTCCATTACAAAGAAAAGAGTAATAATAACTTTTCCCATGTGGCTTGCAGTTTTGTGCAAGGCGAAGGATTATTATCAGGCAAATGCATTTAGAAGAGGACAAAGTAAGCATAAGCCAGTCTAAAAATGTTTGAGCTATGGCTGAAATTTAGCTTTAGAGATGATGAGCTATTGTGAATCTCAAATTCTTTTAAAGAAAGATTAAAAGACATGTTTGCTGCTCACTTTGCTGCATGAGAAGCTTTGGTATACCCCAGAGTCACCTGGAGAGAGCTGAAGCAGGACAGAGAGGGAAAGGTGCTGCCCTTTATCTGGCTTTTTAGGAAACACAGTCACGGACTTTATGTTAAAAATCTGAATCATCTTTTAGGTGCTGATATGTCTTGTCCCCAGATCCCCAGATGAGAACATATCTCTGAGTTTCTAGGTTTACCAGAAAGAACACACTGCCCTGTGGGAGTCGGAAGTCTCTTTCCAAACACTAGAAATTCAGATCAGATGCTCTCAGTTTATATTACTCCTGAAAAGAATATGATTTGCTTAAAAAGGGACAAGACGGTAAAAATCAATCATGCTGCCAGTCAAAGTGACTGACAGACTTTCACAGTGAATTTCTTAAACAGTGAGGAGTGTTTATGATATTCCCTCATGGGAAGGGGTAAGGCTGAAAGACTAAATATATCTGAGGGCCAAGAAAACTAATAACAAGGCTCTCAATCCCCATCTGCACTCAAATACAAGAAAAAAAAGATATTAAATAGGTTTTACACCACAGCAAAATATGTCGCTAAGATGTAAACAAAATAAAATAGAATGTGGCAGAAGTCCAAGCATCTGCGCTGCTGTCCTTTCTGCACAGTTTGTGGCCCCACCACTTTCTAAACCCTGTTTGGGGCTGAATACTGCGCAGAAAGCAAGCAAAGGCATTTTGACACACAGGGCTTATCTTAGAGCTTTATAGCTTGAAAGTGGCAGAACAAAAAAATCAAAGTTACTTGGTTTTGGAAACTAAACACATGAATGGCTGCAGCTTCTCAAAAGGTGCTTGCTGAAGGCAGAGGAAACTCCTGTTCTTTGTGCTGTTAGTGGGAAATGTCATAATAGTAGTTACGTAATCTCATCTCAACTGCAACAAATCCTGGTCGGTCATCAATGCTGTGAAAAGAAGACAAATACCACTGTGTGAGAAGGAGAACACTGTGAAAGGCTTGTGGGTGGCTTTGTACCTCTTCAGACTTTACCTCAGTCATGGGTCATATAAAGCTGCTTGCAATACCTTTAAGGCTATCAAAATGCTACTGCAAAATGAAAACCAAGTGGTAAATATTTTCATGGAGAAGCCAGTAAGTCAACTTACCTGCATATCTTTTACTTGTGGATTATGAACTTGAATGTACTATGTGAAAGAAATGATAAATCAGCACCCTTTTACTAGCTCATTTACTTCAGTATTAATCTAGAGAAATGAATATTTTACAGTGTAATGTCCACTTTAAAACAGGTACTACAATTATAAGGAGTAGCTTAGCACCATTAAGAGGATATGTGGCCATACCATCCAGTTTGCCCCTGTGTCTGCAGATCTTTATTGTTTTGGAAGAACGTGACTAAACTGAGTACAAGACCTGGCAAAAGTATGCAACATATTGATATAGCCGTACTACCTGACTTCAGCAGTCCTACTTCCCTTCCCTTCCCTTCCCTTCCCTTCCCTTCCCTCCCCTTCCCTTTCCTCTTTCTCTCTCTCTTTTCTATCCCTCTCTCTTTTTTCTCTCTCTTTTTTTCTCTCTCTCCTTCTTTATCAAAGATATTTTAATACAACTAAATAGACAGTAACAATCTTTTTTGATCTACTTATTAAACACTACTACTTAAGACTTCATAATTGAGTAAAAGTGGTCCTGAACTACTCAAAGAAGACAATTGTTAGTGTTTCTTTGAGTCAAACAGAAAGGTAGAAAATATTTTATGGCTCCATACTTTTTCTTGAGTACTAGGTACAATAAGTTAATCAAGAAGCAAATTATCTAAAAGTGAAGGACTACTCCTGAAATGGAATGCAAAGACATTTGTTTGACACACATATCCTCTGAACTCGAAGAGTAAGTCATGTCACAGTGGGATTTAGGTGCTATAGGGAGACTTCATTTCAAACAATCTTTTCCAAATAGTTCAGACTGATATTTCTGAGGAATTACTGGTTTTGACAACACCCTGTTTTTGTATTTAAGCATTCTGGCAAAAAGAGGACCAGATATGCAAAATCAGCTTCTTGCATACACCATAATTACATCAAATCATTTTCGTTTGAAATATGAAATACCTCTCTTGTTTCTTTTCTGGCTATTAAGTAGATTAAATAAACTGCCATTGGGAGAGAGAATATCACATCACACTCACTTATACGTCCAACACAATTTCATTAAATCATAGACTTCAGTTGGACAGACTTCGGGACGCTCCATTCGTTCTCCTCTTTCAATCATCTGTGCGACTTCACCACCTTTCATCCCCTGAAGTAAGATGATCAAAACAGTTGTGTGAGTTACAAGTCATTACAGCATATATGCTAGCATAAGGCAGCTAAGACCTGTTTTGACCTGCAACAACCCTTCAAGATATGAAAGTTCAAATATATTCTGAATTTGACAAGAAAGAAAAATTGACAAGTAGAATTACTCACCTTGTATGGCTTTTGTCCATAAGAAAAAGCTTCCCACATTAAAACCCCAAAGCTCCAGACATCACTTTTGCTAGAAAACTTGTAAAAATTCATGCATTCTGGAGCATACCACTTAACTGGCCACTTTCCATGACTTTGTGCCTAAAGTAATAATAGAAAAAATAAAAAGACAGGCTAGAGACATAGTAGTAAGCAGTAAACAATATCAGAATTCCTAAAGACCAAGTTAACTTAGAAAATGTAGCAGGAAAGCAGTCAAAATGTCTGCTCACATCTGCACAAAGTACCATAACATATCTGACATAGTTGGCATCAAGGGAAAACATGTAGGAGTGTCTTCAAAGCTATGCTTGTAGTGACTTTCAACTTTAAGTTGCTCTTTAAAAATCTGGACTTCCTTCAAGAGGGCAAGAGACAGATACCCAGGCATGCTGAGGCCCATCTGACCTGGAGACAATGCTTCATTTCCAAGTGACCGCCTCGTAGTGAATGACGATGTGATTAAGTTCTGCCGTAGCGCTGCCATCGCGACACGAGGTAGCACAGTGCAGCACTCAGCCTAGTGCAGCCCTCCCACCGCGTTTTGTGGCACTGTAAGGGCAACAGCTGCTAATGCCAAGGCTCAGCCCTCGGACATGCACTGATTTAAGGTGTTACTGTTTGTTTATTTATTTATTTATTTATTCTGACAGCAGTTACTGTTCCCACAGAAGACCATAGAAGGCAGCATTTGCTTGTTCCTGCTCTTCTTCATTTCATGGTTTGGCTTATGGGCTTTAAAGTGATGGTGAAGGGGAAAAGGCAGGAGGAAGGAATAATTTGAACTATAGGAGCAGTATATCAGAATAAAAGATGCAGAAATGATGAAAGCCTGTCTCCCAAAAGAATGGTTTTACCTTACTAAATGTGGCAGTTATTTCCATAACTTTAGCTTAGAAAGGTCCAATTAATTTAAAGCCATTCTAAACAAATTCTACATAGCTCAAGTGATCATTTACCAACTATCTTTTTTCAGCACACTCCAATAGTCCAGTTCTGTAAATCAACAGCGGAGTATGCTGGCCTAAATTTTGCTTGGCGATGGTGAAATAAAATGTGTGCTGAACTGCAACAAAGATATTTTCCTCCTTTTGTATGAGGAAGTATCCAATTTCCACAGTAAATTTCAATGTTGTATTTTCAAGTTTATTCAAAAATAAATAAAACCACAAGGAATAGCCCTTTTCTTCCTACCCATCTCTTTATGTTGATGTGTGTTTAGAAAATCTATTTCAGTAACCTACTAGCAGACTAGAAAATAATAGAAGATATATCTATTAAACTGTTTTTGATTTTCAGCACTAGAAAACAGCAACACTTCAACTGAAAATAATTTTGTTACTCTTTACTGCTAACTAGATTTTATATTCTGTGCAAACCTTACCTTGTAATAACTTTCATCAGCACTGAGAGCTTTAGAAAGTCCGAAGTCACTGATTTTGGCATAATGTTGGGTGACTAATAGTACATTTCTTGCAGCCAGATCCCTGTGTACAAAGTTACTCTCCTCCAGGTATTTCATCCCCATGGAAACCTGATGTACCAGCTCTGTTATATTCTTTTCTGTGACATGTCTGAAAATCATAATTGAATCTTTTAAGAGGTCAGTAGTTCATTTTCATGATTTTTCATGGAGCTACAATACAAGTTTGCACTATGACCTTCCCATATCATAACAGCAACCTGCTTCATTTTATGCTTTGCTAAGTTTTAATTAAAACTGGCAGCAGAAGAATGTCCAGAGCAAAAAAAAAGTGTGATCATATCAGTAAATGAGTAATTGAAAGACATCTGGAAATTTTTCATCTATTCAGAATGTTCTGTTTTACCAGAAATGTTTGATAGTGGGCAGACACCTGCAAAATAATCATGCACCAGGTAAGAGTAAATATTGTAATTAGTTATTACGACAGTGGCATTACAATTTAAAATTGCATTAAAAAAATCTATTTCTTTCCTTTTTCCTTTTAGACAAATCCTAGAAAATGGTATCAAAACTTACATACCGATTTTTTTGCAAAAATTTGTTCAAGGGACCAAGTTCAGCCATTTCCATTACTAACATCCAGGCTTCAGCTTCACATATGCCTATCATTCGGACAATATATGGGTTGTCCAGTTGCTGCATTACATTTGCTTCTCGCAGTAATTCATCCTTTACGGCTGGATCATTACTCTCATTCTGAAGAATTTTTACAGCCACTGGCTTAGATCCCCTACAAAAGAGAATCCAATTCTGGGATTAGTTGAAGAAAAATCTGCATGAAAATGCACACAATCTGCAAATGGTGTTTCTATGTGTATAGTACAATCTGTAAGAAAAGAAAGACACTCAGAAGGAGGAAAAAGAAAAACAACCGTAACAGGAACCCCTCTCCAGCAAATGCTTAGAAGACTAAAGAGAGCTAAGCAAAAAAATAGAGAATGGAAGGAATCTCAGGAACTGTAAGCAGTCACTAAGGTCTTAACAGGCCCAAACCCAAAGGTGTTGGACAAAATCTTTTTGCCCTTTCTGGCTATTCTCAACTAATAAAATGACCAGGAATAATGAAAAGACTCCCTAAAGAATGTGATTATTGAAAGAACCCTCAGAAGAAAAATCATATGGGATATGGGACTTGCTCAGAACTGTGGTGTTTTAGGGGTAAGACTAGAAAACGTCTGAAAAACCTCTGAAAGCCTGTGGTTAAGGAAGTGCCTCCAGCTTTCAACACAGAAAGCTTGCACACGATCAGTCCAGGCACTTAAACAACATCCTGGTAGCATTTAGTTATGCAGATGCATGAATGGTCAGGTGCTCCTATTCCTGCTAGTACAAATAGGTTCTGTTCTGACAGCAATTTTATGGTAGGATAAAACTGTACAGAGCCCTCTCTTTCTCATAGAGAGGCAATGTAGAGTGGAAATGCCAAGAAGCATAGCTGCCAATCCAAATTATGGAAGGAGGCAGAAGGATTCTCATTACACTACCCAAACTAGGAGAGTAAATAGTCCTAAGGGGCAATTCTCCAATTTATGGATGAAAATTATGACCGGGAAGTCATTCTGTTATAAGCAAAAAGGTTCCTCATTTCCAAAGAAAAATGAGTGTGTAAGAGAAAAGAAGTTGGTGAATTTTAGCCCAAATTCCTGTAGGTACAGTCTGTCACACCAAATAACATGCAAACATTATTTTCGCTCCAAAAAATACAAGCTAAAGCTTGTAGTTGACTCCATAAAAACAGAAGGGACCACTTACTTTTTCATCTTATAGAACCCTTTCTTTACGGTACCAAAGTTGCCAGAGCCAAGTTCACCATCCTCCAGGCTTAACAGATTCCTGTCAAGAGTGACGTTTTTTGGTCTCATTTCATCTGGATCAGCGTATGGACTTTCGTAGACCTCAGTGTCCATGGGTAAGGCCTCTCTCTGATCAGCTGCTGTTCAAGCAGTGAACAAATTACAGATTATAAGAACATTCTCCTGCTATGGGTAGTACATTCATTCTTTCCAAGCTCAGGATCATTGATCCCGTCTTTGGGTTTGCTTCATCAAGAACATTAACAAAGTCCCACATGTAGACAAGCTACAAGCAGTTCAAAATATCCCCCAAAAGAGTGGGAGCCCCCACTCCACCTGAGGAAGTGCTGTTAACTATGGAGCAACTGGATAAAAGGGAAACCAAAAGTCACTTATTCCTACCTTATGTGGAATAGCTGTATAAGGCCTATGGGTCCCTAGCGGAGGGAGTGTTTAGGAGGTGCCCTTTAGTTTAATATTTGTTACCTCAGGTAATTCTTTATTTCTTTTAGGCACTCATTTTTTCATTATATGTTACAGAGAGTCTTTGTACCAGCTCGACACATTTCTTGTGGCACATTCTTGGGGGTTTTCAATGGGGCACACATTTCTCTTATTTTTACCAACTGGGAGGATGCAGCTTTTAGAGTTAGTAAGGTAAAAGTCTTTTACCTCAACAGGGAAAAAGGGATTTCTCTTAAATCACTTTCATTACAAATGCTGACATCTGGCGAACTGCTACCAGGTTTTAGCTATGATACTGGCTATCCCAGTATGTGAATTAGCATAGAATATATGCAAGAAAATAAAGAAATATGGGTGGAACTGAGACCTCTAACAGTTTTTTTTTTTTTTAATCTATGATACAAATTACTGTGCCTACCTCTATCAGCTCCCATGAGTGTTCTTGTTCTTTGGAGCACATAAGGATTAAAAGATGCTGCTTCATCAGTGGAGGAAGCAATAGGTGACTGTTGCTGTAGCACATAAATAGAATTTTTCTGTTTAGCAACAAAGAGATAAGTTAAATGCATTTTTTTTTCCAGATGAGTATGGCATAATGATTGCAAAAGAAATGTAGGTGAGAATCGGAGAGTAAGAAAGGGATCAAAGAAAGCTTATCTCATTATGGAGATTATTGCTTGAGTAAATATGCAGGCGAAATAAAATACACACAGCTAAAGCACAGAAAGATACTGAAAATATTTTAGAGCATCTAATCTAAGAGAATTAACTGAAAAGGGTTGCACAAATCTTATCCTGCAGATGTTAAATTTACTTGCTTCCATGTAACACCAGAAGTCATAAGGATTTCTTTTTAATCTATTTTGCCCCTCATCTCTGACATAATCTCTCACCATATCTAGGTCAAATAGAAATTAAAATAACTTTTTAAAACAATCCACTGTTTTTCTTGTGGGTATTACAGAATTATTTTGCTTTTATTACTTTGATGAAACAAGAGTAAACAGAAATTATTGTAATAAGCATTTATTATGGACTAGATGCTTTTGGCCAGTCTGTCTGCTCTGTGAAGATCTGGGGTGGAAAAAATGACCTACTTCTATACTACACTTCAGACATAGTCCAGAAAACACCCCTCTGCCTTGATTCTCCCCTTTGAGGAAATGGACCTCACAAAATCCACCGAGCACAAACCCAGCCTATTGCAGAGCTCCTTGGCTGGATGGCTCTTGCAGGGGTGTGCACCCCAATATGGCACAGGTTGTAACCTGCTCTCTCCTATCTGTCCACTGTGAGAAGATCCTTTCAAGAATAGGGAAACTTTTTTCTGCAGTTTAGCCTCTTTTCTTTATGTAAAACAAAACAAAACCAAAACAAAAGTAAATTGATAGACTATGAGCTTTTTTCTTCTGTTTCTCATCTTCCTAGAAGACTGTCACTCAAAACCAGAAACAAACATCAAAAACGGACATCAAAAAAGGTTGGCAGGCTCCCTAAAAGGAGAATTTACTGTACTTGCAAAACTTTGATAAAACTGCAGTTTCAAAAAAAAAAAAAAAAAAAAACAGATGGAATTATACTTACTGAGGGCACAGTGATTTTAGCAATTCTTGGCCAAGGGGTTCAAAAAAGAGTGGAATTAAGAGACAAAAATACACTGACCACATGAGAAAGGATCTGAGATGCAGTATCTTCAAGGTTAGTTTTAAAGGATACACGAGTACTTTTTGTCAACATTATCCCCCAGATAATCTCCTGAGTAGAAACACCAAGTATTCAAAAGGTAGCATCTAGAAGATAGAGCATTGCTCTGGGACTGTCTCAACTGTGCACCAAAAAACATGAGATTTGTGATCTCATCTCACCTCAGTGATGAGAATCTCTGCATCCAAGGCTTGTGGGGTGTCCTGCAGCCCACCCTTTACTGAGGCAGTGAAATATTTCCTGCAGCCACAGCTATGCAAAGTCATATTGGCAGTGCTGTAGCCCCAAGCTAACCAGAGAAGCGTGGTAGCCCTCTTTTCTTTCTTTCCACAAGTAGCCCAGTGAGCTCTAGAGTTTGGGAAGTTGCTGTTACTCAATAGGGAATATAAATTCAACCATGAAAATACAGAAACCCAAGAAAAATTCTTTTTTTCCCTTTTTTTTTTTTTAATTTAACTAGCAGTTAAATCCAGAATATTTTTTGCCCTATACTTTAAAAATAGCAAGTTTAATTCTGCAGGTCTTTTTCTGTCCAAGGGATCTTCATCTTTTTACTACCAGTGAACAGGCTAGAGGATTAGTCACACTAGTCTTACAAAAAACAGTGAATTAATACAATGACTGTGGATTTGCTCTCCCAGTAAAAGAGCAATATAGAAAAAGTATCCACTTTAAAGGATGAATAAAATGATCCACTCACCTTCTATTTAAATCTGATTATTATAGTAAAGATTATTATTATGGAAGCAATCGGTACAGTAAGTGTGATTGTTTGTCATGTCAGTGATTCTGATTTTCATTAACCCAAACGTATACTTAGGCCTATAACATCTTCTTTCTTGATTAAACCAAACTGCCTATCAAAATGTAGTATGGTGAAGATTTTAATAGCTATCTAGTCATTGGGCTTTGACTAAGACTTCCTATTGCCACGAGGTGGCACCAGTTCATTTAAAATGTCACTGTATTAGCGAGTAAAGTAACAAGAAATACTTTGATTTGGGAGATAAAGCTGTATCTGCTTAACAAGTTTGTGAAGTCTTCCTTTTTTAAAAAAATTATTTTTAAATTTCCTAGTCTGAATAATGCAGCAGCCCACAGGTGCTCCTTTTTACTCTCTGAAAGTTTTCAACATATTGAGAACATGCTTCCTAATTAGGTAGGTTTTTAGGGAAAATGCATGCTAGGCTTCAGGGATGACAAACTTTTACTTTCCTAAAAAGACCGATCCTTCTCTGCCAGTCCACTTGAGTCTGCCTTGCGCAGCAAGTGGGTATGTAATTGTAGAAGGCAATCAGAGAGCAGCTCAGACTTTACCAGGCAAACAGACAGCAGCAAACCAGTCTCTTCAGTCTACATCTGGTGAATTCAGATGCCACAGCACTCACTTTTCTGAACAAAAACAAAATACCCTTTTGCCAGATAAGCAGCACCATGGCAAAATTTTTGAGTGACTTTAGAAAGATCCCAGACACTCTATGTGTATTTGTACATAATGAGAACACATTAAAAATGAAGCATAGGTCCTGTAAGGTCTTGGAAGACATGCAGACATCAAAAACCGTCTGTATATAATTGATCTGAAGTTACTTACGAAAATCAAGTATAATTGTTATATACTAATATGATTAAATACAGTAAACACCAAACATAGGTTTCCACTCTGAAAAGTACCTCTGCTCTAGGCCTTCTTCTACCTGGCCATTTTTGTTCGAGAGCAAATGCTAATAAATAAATAAATAAGCAAACAAACAAACAAACTGCAAGAGTCACACAGACGAGCACGTAATTCTCAGCATGCAAATAAAATCCTTAAAACCATGTTCTTAACTACATGGATTAATGGACAGCATCGTTTACTGACCATGTAGCACTCATTACTACAGGAGCTCCCTTGGGCTTCCTGACTTTTTGCCACCTCTTCTCTTTTGCTTAGGGCTGCAACAATCTACAATTGCCTAAATGCAATTAACTTCAATGTGTAATAAGATTTGTGCACACAAGTTCTGCAAAAATTGTTATGAATAAATTGTTCTCTAAATGTGCTTACTAATAGCCTAGCCAGCAAGCCAATTTTCTGATTAGGAGTGATATTTCTCACTGGAAGTATCATTTTGTTCTGATATAAGGGACTATTTTTAAAAGTACATTTTATCACTTGCATGTTATTTGCAGACATGTGAGGAACAGTGCTAATATTTTGGGATGTGAGAAATTATTTTAAAAAATCCCTGAACTTTTTGAAACTTCTTGAAAGCCACTGATTTATTTCTATAAAATGAAGACCATAATTATGCAGAGGATTAGGAAAGAAGCAGAAAGATTATAAAACCTTCACAATCTGATTATTAGTAGTCAAGACAGACATTTAATATCAGTAAGCCAAAGGGGAAAAAAAGAAGGGAAATTAGCCAAGTGTAAGTCCTTTTAACTCAATGAAAAACCTAAAAAGACCGTATGATGCACCTTTTTGCTGCCAGCCTTTGGAAAGGTGTACGATTTGAGTCTTGAGATAATTCCACCTCTTGCCCAACTCTAGAAACCACAATGTCAAAGAGGAACAGTAAATGTGTCAGGAAAATATCTAGAGGTACTTTATAAAACAGACATAGCATACAAGTACAAAACATGCACAGTCTTTCTCTTCTTTGTGCCTGCAAGCACTATCAAGATGCAAAGTATTATGTGAAATCTAAACATTATTTAAGCCACGTTTCTCTCAAAATACCTTACATCTGTAGAAATACCTCGAGGCAGTTTTTGAATTCAAGCACGCTGCCCTTTCCCTGTCTGCCTCGCCCAGTGAGTTTCTTTTGTCTCCAGTATTGAATTTTAGGCCCAATGAAACACATTTAGCAATGTAAATCAGATAATAACCTTAGTCTGTTGAGAAAGACTAATGTCTCAAGCAGGATTTGAAGCATACCCTGATTTTACAATAAACATAATGTGATTACAGAAGCAAAAGCACATAAACAGACATTTCAAACAAAAATGAACAGGCTCTGGATACTTTTAAATGAAATGCAAAAGTATTCTATAGAAATACATTAATTTAGGATAATCAATTAGCATTTCTAAGGGTCACTGAGAGACCATATCTGGATAATTAAGATTTGGTGCAATAATGTAGTGACCATAATGACAAAGCATTTAGCCCGATACTCATACTATAATAATAATAATCTGACCTCTCTTTTCATTCACATTAAACAGTTTTTGAAATGACTTATATATGTTAGAAATTTTTATAACAACTCCATTTGGACTTTCTTAAAAATAAAGATCATTTACTAATGCTTGAATAAGCATAGTGTTTTTCTCACCTTTCTTTTAAAAATTGATGTCACATACAATTTTTTTGTTCTAAAACATGAAGCATAGCCCAACACTTTCTATTCTTGCTGGAAGAATGGAAACCTTTTTGATGTTTAAGAGCTTTATAACTGTGATACTAAAATTCAGATACTGCATATTGAGACAATTTATTGAATGTGCTTTTTTTTTCTTTTACCACTTGAAATTCTTTTTCTGTATGGGAATAAAAGAATTTCAAAGCATTTATTTCCTATCATTTTGCAACAAATAAATCCTCTAAGGAGTTAAGTGATCTTTTGCACATGGTAAATTCAGTTCATTGTATTTTTATGTCAACAGGAGGTCCTATGCTTGACCTTGCAGCTAACTGTGCCCTCTTGAAGTAATAATGCTTAATTCAAATGATTATATTCGAACCACAAATGCCTTCTTAGAGGAATATTTTAAAAGCTAAAAAGGACAGAAAATGGTACCCATCTAAACTTAGACTTCACTCTTAGTGTTTGAGTTTGTTAATACTGTCTGGTAAACAAATAAAATGCTAGAGGAGTAAACAGAAAAATCAGGAGAATGCCCTGATGTTCAGCTTCACTGCAATGTCAACAGCTGATTTTAGGTTCATATTAAAAGCTCTTCTCCAATTTTAAAGACTTTTGGGATAATGTCCAGGGAGAAAAAAATAAAATTCTCAAAAGTCATAGGGAATCAAAGCCAAAGACACCTTAAATCACATTATGGAGTCTCTGGGTAAAAGACAAGAAAAGCTCTAGCCCACACATGGCACCACTGACAGAAATATTAAGGAATTAGACTCCACATTCTGCATGGAGAAAACACCTCCTAATACTGATTTCCAACACAACGTGGTTCCCCTGCTGATGAGGCATATCAGAATCACCGCAATGGAGATGTGCATATGACAGGGAAGGCAACAAGACCTTGGTATCTTGCCTGGAAGCCTTTGGGCACATTCTGGGAAACAGTAACATTATCTCCTTGGTTCTTACTGGAGCATTAGCAAATACCACAAAACCCACTTTCCTGAGGTTGTAAATCGTAGTCCAAGCCCTCATGAGCTAACAACTTGGAGTCATATTATCTGTCTAGACTATCCTAGCTAGACTAGCTAGTATACTAGACTAGTTTAGTAGACAGTCTACTCTGCATTCTACTATCCAGCAAATGATATTTCTACACTGGCCATCCATCTTCTACCTGCAAAGCAATTTGAGATTTGGGTATGTTCTCTACTAAGACTTTGGAATTTAGCAGGTCTTAGTTGGAAGTTACTGTTTTTATACAAAGGTGTTAATATGTGAGAACTTGGCAATGGTACCTGTAGTCTTTGAACTACATAAATAACAATATTAACTTAAAAATTTCCATTTTACATTTTTATCTTTATACTATGTGATAGTACCTTCGAGAGCAGATTTGTTTTCAAGAACTCCTAAAGAAATGACAGAATTCAGATTTCAGTTTTAAGGAAATGCTTTTCCTTTTATCTCTCATGAAATGTACTAAATTTACCAAAGAGATTATCAGTCCTTAAAATACTAATGGCTTCTGTGTAGAACTGCTTACATGAGAAAGTGCATTTAAGTTAACTACCTCTGAGGAAAGTACACATTTAAGGGTGGAATTAATCTTATTTAACTGCAGCTATCTAAAGGCAGGCATTTAGTCTTGGGTAATCACTCAGACCACTTCTCAACAGAAAAAAAAAAAAGAAAACAAAAAACAGTTAATTACTGGTGGAAAGTCACTGCACCACTCTGAGACACTCTTGGTATAAAGTGACATGTGAATTGGTATGTATCTCTCTCTCTTCCTCCAAAATTTTCCTATAGTGAGGCTAGCTGATTTGTTAAGGCCCGCTGTCTCTTTTGAGACTATTAATATTAACCAGAACAAATCACCCACTGTTTGCAAAACAGTGTCTTTCATCTGCAAAGCATTGTGAACAACCGGAATTGCATAACTGCAATGGCATTGATGAAAAAGAGAAGAGTTTTGCCACTTTCTTTCATTGCACAGCCCTAACTGTCAGTCAGTTTAGTCAGATGCATGGTTTCTTGTTGCTATTTCTTTGAGAAATTTAAGCACTTAAAGTAGGAGTTTTAAGGGTTCCATACGTTTACTTTTCATTTGTATGTAAACTGTAGAATTTTCTATTGATGATGTAATGTTCCTTCACTGAAAATGCTTGCCACTACCACCTTGTCTGTAGATGGTGCGCACGCAGTCTGACATGCTTAATCTTTGTCTTTGTAAATGACTTGGAGAGTCATCTGAGACAGTCTTGTGACAGCATTTTAAAAAATGTCAATGATTTGAGGAGTGCAAATTCCAATAGATTTTGGTGTGTAATTTCCACTGATTTTAAAAGGCACCTGATATTCAGAAAGCAGGAGCATGAAAATATTTGCTCCCTGGGCCTATGAAGACTCAGAGTATTAAAACAAATTTATTTGGGTTTATAAGAACTAAAACATTTGTTTCTATAATGTGACATGGCATCAAGAGAAACACCTAGACAACTTAACTACCTAGATGACAGACAGGTTTTCTGGAAGAAGTGAAATGATTAAGTTAAATTCCCTACTTCAGTTCAGACCAGTTAAAACTGAATGAGATGTTTCGTACCATGCCTCGGGTGGCTCTTCACTAATAGGACTGTTGAGGTTTCCACCAGCTTTAATATACTGCTGCTGCCCTTTCCTCAAATCTTTGAAAGTCTCCCTCTATGCCTCTGGAGATAACACTTTATATGATTATATCAATCATTTAATGAAAGTAAGTTTCTTTTTTTTTTTTCCCAATACACACAAGTAAAGCTCAAATACTTAAAGCACTGTAATACTTTTCCATAGTTTTAAACAAAACTTTCTAACCAAAACTTTTAAATCAAATCTTACTGATGACTCATTTTGCATACAAAAATACTGATTTTCATATATAGTATGAGTGAAACACATAAAACACAGTCACAGAATTAAATGATGAATATCTCAGTGCAAAACTAATGAAAGAAACAGTACTAGAATGTGTCAAACTTACTCTTTTCTATCTATTGCTTATTTAAGAGTCCCTAGAAAAAAGATTTACTGCTACAGTAATACCGATGCATTAGAATTCCTAATGTGTAAAATTAAGTTCTCTGAAACTAACATTATTGCTATACCAAGATCTATTCTTACCTTAAAAGGGGCTCCATGATGTGGAGGACGAGCATCGAAAACAATATTATCTGCAAAGGAGCCAAATACAGAAAGATACTGAGCAGTATGGGAAATGTACTGTAAGAAGAAATAATTTTACATTGGGAACTTAACTTCCTTGCTTTTAAATCATTTTACAATACTTCTCCTGGCTCATCTTCTTTACTTTTGTATCCCCTGTCTGAGATTTAATGCCCAGAGACAAAATATGTGCAATGGCTTAGTAATGATTTAGGGGAGTGAAGAAATAAGGGACTATCCTCTATCAGTGTGGTACTGGTATATAGACAAAGACAGAGGAATTATTTATAATCTTATACCAAATTTAATTTAAATCTAAAATAATATGCCCCCAACTACCTGGAAAGTGGAAAAAAGGACTCATAATAGGAATATAATGCACAAGTAACAACTCACCATTTTCTGAGCCAAGTCGTGAACAAGGAATAGTAAGAACCCTTAATAATCCATCTGGTTTGTATGAATAATGTTCCACTAACTACCAAAAGGAGATAAAAAAGAGAGGGAGAGAGAGAGAAGAAGAAAGAGAGAGAGAGATGAAAAGGCAACAGAGGTATAATTAATTAAATTGCTTCTTTAGAATTCTATGCACATGTGCAATAATCAGTGTACATTGCAGCAAGTCAAGTGGAAGTGTAGCAGGTTTTTAGTGCACATACTCATCTTTCATCTTTATTTCTCTTTTATATAGGTGTAGGTTTTTGAGGTAATTCAGGTGGCTGAATCTAAGGATCAGGTTTTATGCAACCCAGTATTTTGTGCTAGATTTGGTTCTTGGCTAAACTATTTTGTAACTGTGAGTAAACCGCTTCTTTTTATACCTCTCTTTCTCTCTTCCTTTTTTTTTTTTCCCCAGACTTTTTTTTTCTTTAATAAAGATGGGCAACACTACATTGTGCAGGAATTACGCAGATGTAGAAAGCATTTTGGCATCTCAAAATCACATTATGATGTAAACAGTTAGTGTTAAGTTTCTAGCACCAGTGGACATTGCCACATGTATTTCTGTGTTGTTCTCGCCATTTTGCCATTTTATCACAGGAAATTACTGCTGTTGTGGCCCTACGCATTTGGCAGCCTACAAGTGAAACATTCAAAAAATATACTAAGTTGTCATAGTTGTCGACCTGCTCTCAAATTCACAGTAACTGCAGGAATGACATGGATATTTATAGAAAAGGTCAAGAACTGTTATATAGAGATTTAATTTTATTATTTACTTTATTTATTTAAATAGAATTTTAAGCACAAGCACACAGCAAGTTTGTGCATTTCCTTCAGCATTTTCAGATTACCTCACCATTTCTCTAGTACTCATTTTTTTTTCCTATGGCACAGTCAGCTATCCATTCCTTGCCTGCTTAATCTTCCCCAATATTCAGCCATATTTTGGTGGTAACCCTTAGCAAATTATGTTTATTCAACTAATAATACAGGGAACTTCAAAGGTAAGGAGTTCAGTGTATGTATGTGTAGCATCCTATTTCTTACTATCATAAAGGACATTAGTGAAAGACTGTACCTTATATATCTATTATTGACTATGGTTACTCACAAATCCAAACGTTCTTCCATTCTGGGGAAAAAGCAGTTCACTGAATAATAATTACAGCAATTTTAAACTAAGCCAAGCTGCAACAACTTAAAAATGATTAAAATCTGTACATTTGCATAACTTTCTATTTTAACACAGATTCTCCTCATATACAAAACCCACAACATGTTGGAAACAAGTATATGACAACTAACCACCAAAACATGTTGGTATTTAGCTAACGATTGTTGATGCACAGCAAAGTAAAACAAACCGCCCAGCTAGGGACATATGGAAACATGATGACATATAGTCAAGTGATTCAACTTTAACAGACCTGCCAAAGGGTGTCAAATCTTTTCCCCTCTGGTATGGAGAGCTTTCCTGTCTTATCTCTGTCAATACGGTAATGAAGTACTTTTCCATCATTGAGGAGACACAGAGCATAGGAACCACTGTTATCTCTTTCTCTGATTCTGTAAGGAGAAGAGGAGAGATTTTCAGGGTTACTCTTTACTACCAGTAAGCCTTGGGAATAAAGATTTTTTTTACATCATTCTTTCCTATAAGCTTTCCAAGTAAGAAAAACGACAAAACCTACACTGCAACTTTTAGAGAACATCTGGCTAAACCTTTCATTTAATTTTGTTAGCATTGTTTGTTTTCAGATAGAATTCCTTAAGAGTCCCACTTTTTTCTCTTGAATGGCAACTGGCAAGAACAGAAAATCAACCATGTGGAGCTCTTTGCTAGGCAGTTCCAGAAGCAGAGAACAAGGTGCTCACTGAGCAAGGAAGACATCAAGGCTTGTGCACTACAGGCCTAGACAGCCTATGGAAGTCAGAGACCTGGATCCAGCACACTAAGCAGTTAGTCCTACTTCATCTCTTCAATAGCTGACCTACATTTAGAAACAACAGATAAGTGCCGATATTAAGGCTAGACTTCTTCCCCTTAGATGTCACTTTGAAACACAGAGATGATAGTGAGGGGAGAAGATAAAATGCTAAAAGAATGCAATGTTAAACACAAGGAAAATCTTTCTTTGTGTGTGGTAGCAGGTTGCAGTTTACATGATTACAATTTTGCAGTTAAACAAAGTAACATGGCTGAAAATAACCATCCATTGTGTAATTTCTTTAACAATATTAATGCGTTGTCATAAATTTCACATGAAATTCACATTCGCAGTTCATATGTGTGGCTTACACAACTAGTCCAAATTTCACTAGGAAGCGATCACAGGCTGTAGTATAAAACCCTGTGTAAAATTTGTATCAGGATGAATGGAAAATGGGACATCTGGACATCTGGACATCTGGACATCTGGAGTCAATATCTGAAGTGCCTGTGCGAGCTTGCACAGTTGTTTGTGTACTCGGGGCTACTTCACACTGAGGTCAACACCTTCTGGTGACTAGACCCAGAGTAGTGATTTGCTACTAGCTCCATCATAGGCAGCCTGGCACACCTACATTTAAAAAGTAGACTTTTATTTTTAATTTGAGTTGCCTGTGTTTAGTTGCTGGTCACCGAAAGCAAATGATAGCTAGATGGAATTTTCTGGAATTATGGGTTTTTCTTCTTAAAAAAAAAAAAAAAAAAAAAAAGACTTAGCCACAACAAAACATTTCTTATTCCAGCATTGAGAAAGCTACTCATTTTCCATCTAGTTTGCGTCCCCTTCTCTTCATGTTTCCACCTTACTAACAGTATGTGACAGATGATGCAGGGCCTTCAGAGTTCCAGACAGGCCAGTTGGTAACTGACTGAACCACTGATCTGCAGGATCTCTCTGAGCAAAAGGGGGAACTCAGTAAATGTTTGAAGTCCCTTAATCAGCTGGGCCCAAATTTTTATCTCCCCCAAGGAATCACTCAAAGGACATCTCTCAGCAAGGTGTGAGAAAATTGCTTTCAAAATTTAATTTTGAGAAGAAGAAAGACTTTTGAGACCAACTTTATCTGTCAGTCATTTTTCAGATTTCACATGGAAACTGAGATTGACTGTCATTAGGTGCATCGGTAGTTAGCACCTACACAAAAATGAGCTATATTACACCAATTATATACAGTTAACTACTATGATGAGGCTACAACATACTGAACAATTTTTTGAAAGCTCTGAAAAGAAACATAGGGTACCCTCACTAAGGTGTCTGGTCGCTTTGCTGGTACAATATTAGTGCTTGGCATTACATCTGCAGAGATTCCCAAGGCAAGAACTGCATTACACTCCTCATCTGACTCACTCAAGCCTAAACTAAACAGAGTTTGTTTCATCTGAATACTCATGCAACTCATTTTCAAGCAGAGTGATTCTTGTTGATGAAGGTGTGAACAGGACACTGGCCAAAGGAAGAGGAAAGCAGAGTTATTTTTTTTCTGAAACAAAGTATCTTGCCTAGTGCCACTAAAGCAACTTGAAACACCCTGTGGTTTTTCAAGACAAGGAGGTATTTTCTGAGCACACTGATTTCCTGTGCTGACTGACCAGTGGAGAGCAGCAGGTTCTCTTCCTCTGACTTGGTTTTATAGCAAAAAAGATTTCAAAAAGTATTTTCAGAATAGAGAATATTGTCTCTGAAATACAAATGCCATTTCATCAAATTCAGACCTCTGCCCAGAATAAAGCATGTGTAAGATTACAAAAACGCAATATACAGTTTCCCAGCAATAAGTTCCTTCTTGAATCACAGGAAGAATCAAACATGATTAGCCCTGCCAAAACTGAATCCCATTTGCAGCAGTTGTTACTATCAAGGTAAGTACCCTGAATATTTTTAACAGTACAGATCTCAGTGGGAGAACATAGTCCTGATGTTTTTAGGACTATGGTACAGATCCAGACAACCTTTTGAGTATAGCAGGATCTGTGCAAAATCCAAGTTTGTAAGGTTGTAGTCATATATCTGAGCTCCTCCTTAAAACAGCTACCTAGTGAAGACATCTGGAGTCCACAGTCATGGCAACTTCTGCCTGATTTGGGTGCATGAACAAAAACATCACACATCTAATTCTATGCTTGGCCAGTGCCCAGAGAAGCCTTGTTCTCTTGGGGTTATGATCCAGGAGGTGCCTTCTCAAGTTGTGTCCCATCAGCATTATTTCTCTCCTGCTTGGGATTGTGCTCAGAACTGTTTCAGAAACATCAGCACACCACAGAACTGAAAAGGCAGCTCTGCTGCATGCTATCACTATCTATGTTGCAACCTGATACTTGGTCTCTTGACAAGATTGCTATGCTACACTGCACAGTCAGTGTACTACAGTGATGAAACACCTTAGTGAGCAGGACTGCATCATGGTAGCCTATTTTGGTGGTGTCCTCCTGCCCGCAAAACATGCTAAGCTTTTTTTTTTTTTTTTTTCTCTCCTGGTATAAATTCTCCTGCAAAATGGTATTTTCTCGGTAGCTATCTCATTTAGAGATCATGTTCTTTCTTCACACCTTTGACCGAGCTCCACTGCCAAAGCGCACAGTGCTGAGCTAGCCCCAAAAAGCCTCAGCCCTGCTGCAGCCCTCTGCAAGCCACACACGTCCAGCTGCAGATCAAGAAGGAGCTTCCCAAAGAGCTCCTTGAGTGTCTTCACGAGCACTCAGCATCTTCGGCAACATGGTGCACAGGCTGTATTTCACTGTTTATCTTGGAAAATTCTTATGGTCATCTTCTTGGCATTTTGAAGATAAGCTGCATCAGTAAATAAGATTCCTGAATCAAGGCTGCATTTAGTAGGATAATTCTCCTCATGTCTGATGTGAACAATGCCCAGTTCAATTCACAGATACACACATAATAAAGACAGATGTAGATAAAAAATGCTTCTGTGAGATAAACGGCACACCTAGCTCAGGGAGTTCTCTGGCAGGTGGAGATGACTACAAAGAGACGGTAAGAGTAATGCAGACACAGGCAACTATGAATATCAGCCTCTCCTAGGGACAACTGTGCAGTGGAGCTTGTTACTTTGAAATGATGTTACTAGTGCTAACTATCATGACATGTAAAAGATAGCTGGGTCTCTTAGAAGTTGCAAGATGCTGTGATCAGTAGTGCCATGACCCATACTAATGGTCTGAACTAGTCTTGTCATTTTGGCATGTTTAGTCATAGACTGAAAATATTCCTACAGCACCATTTTTTTCTCTCTCTCTTTCTCCATTGTTAATGTTTTATGTGAATTACATGTGACTATGAACATACATGTAAGTTGTATGGAACCTAGCTGCTGATTGTGTGATACATTAACCTGCAATTTCCTGAAAGTCGAATTTTTATACTTAATGGAATTTCTTAATATTGTTTATCTTTCTTCAGGCTTCAGAATTTCTGTATGTGGTTTTTAACACATACAGAAGTTCTAATGTCCATATAGCTAAAGTGGTCACCATTGATGATAAACTGAGATATTCTGAGAGTTAACAACATACACTCATCACAGTCCTTTCCTAAACGAAACTAAAAAGAAAATAACTTTTCTTTCACTATTTATCTATAAGCAAATGTCTATTTTTTACGTGATTCCTGCACGATAGTTTAAAGAATTACAGAATATAGTAATCAAAATTACGATCACTAGACAAAGCTGCATGAAAAGTTAGTGTTTATCAGAATTCAGATAAGAACAAGGAGCCCTACACAGTACAAAAAGTAATGTTAACAGATAATGAAGCTGACAGAGCCTTGAGACCTCAATCAAGGTCCTCCACTTGTTTTAGAGAGATCTTATTTTGCTTTTATTTTGTTGCCAGTTTTTTTTCCTCCAAAGTTGGCAGCTACAATTCCCATGAATTTTTGTCCTGGGAATAGTGGGTACTGCTTGTAGTTTCACATTTGCCATTGTTTCTTCTACTTAGCTTTGGAAACAAATGCTATAACCCCCGTACATGTTCTTGCACTGACAGTTCGGTCAACACAAAAGTGTTAGAGTCTTTAAAACTCCTGGGCAAAAAACCCTATTTAACTCAGTGCTCTTCCAGTTGCTTGGAAAAGAGGCCACAGTGTTAAATTTCTGATGCTGTTCCTGACATTCTGAATTGCCACCAGAAATATTTAAAACTATTTTTATATTGATTATGCACACACACACAAAAATTTAGATTCTAGATTTGATAATCTTGTAATGTTGCAAGATACTATTAAAGAAGTGTAGGTGTTAGATATGTTCACACAGAGATTCCCATACTGGCTTTTGTGTCAAGATAGATCATGCAGCTAGCAGATTTCTGGGTGAATAAGCTTTATTCCAGCCTTCCAAAATTCATTTTTTGCCCATAATGAGCAGGATGATGTTTGTCACAGTACTTAAGTCAGACTTGTTTGTGGACCTGCTGAATACTTTTGGAGAAAATCTAGATTCCCTTTATCTTTCAGTTTCCAGTCCACTCTCTGACTTATACTTGTGACAAGTGAACTTCTCTTAGGCATCTAAAGCCTAAAGTCTACCCCGTCATCAGCTACCGGGCTTGAACCTTTTAAACAGCATGAAACAAACAAGCAAACAAAAAATAACAATCTGTGAGCTTCTATATTCACAGCATTCAGTCCACAGAGGTAAAGAAAATTGTACACATATTCCTATTTGATACGGAAAAAGTACATGCCTGCAATCTCAGACAATGTACCTTTCTAGCACTCATGGCAATTGTGCAGCTACTTCTACAGTTAGCTAACAAACGAATGAGTGTTTCTCTGTCTCTAGTTGATTAGGTAAAACATTAGAGGAAGCAGAAAACGGTTGTGAATTAAAAGGTGCTTTGTTATTTGCTAAAAGCTGCTAGGTCTACCCAACTAGGAGCTGAAACAAGTCCAGAAAACAACATGGGAGCAACAGATTACTTCTCTTGCTGATCTTGCTGCTGGGTTGGATGAAAGTTTTTCTTGTCAATAAGCATGAGAGTGAACAGCAGCCAAACACTTACTGAGCTCTAAAAATTGCCACGGGCAACCTATGAAAAGGCAGTTGCAATGCTTGAAAGCACCTATCGATGCAAAAGTACATGGTGCCATCCTTAAAACATGGACCCAACCCAAACACACCAACAGATAAAGGTTGATACAACTCAAGTTCCAAAAGCATTTGCCATGGATTAAACAGTCTTAAAGCTAGCATTTGGCTAGCTGGAGGTTTATCTGCTAGACCTGAAAGAAATCTGTCAAAGTTCAACAGAACCACCTACAACATACAACAACTGACACGGAAAATCTCGCAGGAGAATGTCTGACTGCTTCCTCTATAGGCCACCGAATGGCAGTTCTGGGGCTGTTTGCAATGATCCTTCTGGGTCATCTCTCAGAGGCACAGAAAAATGCTGGGTTTTTCACTTAAAACTCTACTCATAATTCTATTCAGAACTGTGGGGATGCTCAGAAAATGTTAAGAAAAGACCAAGATTTAGAAGGGAGGCTGTAAGTATTAAGTCTGCTATAAAAAAACTACTGTCGTGCACTCAAAATCCATCCTTTTTTTGAGGAAACAGTTGACTTCTCTGTCCAAAAAATGGCAAAATGTTAAATTTTGGTTTATTCAAACCAAAATTTTCTTAAAGAAAGATTTTTTGTTAGAAGATTTTGACTAGCTCCAATGCTTACAAGATGATGGAGACGACTCTTTGATGGTTGCTAATCACCAGCCTAAATGCTGGTGTTTTTGCTCACAGGTTCCAGTAAACAGGCTCTTTAAACATATGATGGTCACAAAATGGAATAATCAAGGTAAATGACATTCATTCTACTGTTTAATTGCAAAAGTAAGCAATAGTTTTGCAAAAAGGTTTCTGAAACAAAGCCTTTCTCCTCGGAAAAATGACAGTTATGGATACCAAAAGTTGCTACCATAGGTACTTATTTTTATTGCTTTAAAAAGACACTAACTACTGTTCCTTTTTTTTTTTCCCTTGTCATCAGCTTTCTGATGCTACATTTAGAATTAGACCTAACATTTTCTGAAGAAACAGAAACAGTGACCCCAGCTTTTGCTATGGTTTCCAGCCTTAAGTTAACTGATAACTAATCTTAGAGACATTTGCTTAATATAGGAATGGTGAAGCTGCCTGTCTTGCTGGACTGGAGTCACTCAGTGTGAGTAGGCTGTCTCTTTGACAGACTCTTGCTTGAAATTTATTCATGGGAACTGTGTAGAAACACTGCTGATAAACAGCAGCTCCAGAGAAAGGAAAGTACTCACAAAAATTTTCCATTGTTTTTTAACCCTACAAGGATCCGGTGTTCTGATTCTTCCCGAGAGATCTTCCCATGGAACCAAGGCATCTTCTCATGGGCTGTAGTGGCAATCAGTTTCTCCAGCTGAGGTTTTTGACTAATGATAGCTTGTTCAAGAGCATCACCCTGGAGGGAGTGAAAAAATCAACAAAAGGATAGTGAAGCTGTTTTCTAAAAAAAAACATTACAGGCAAATTCACAATGTTGGATTGCTTTGGGGGCATCCAAAAGCAGTAAATAATTATTTGTTTTTGGATGCTACAGAAATATTGAAACAGCAACTAACATTGTGTAATCTAAACACAGTAAGCTGGTATTCTTTTTTTGTCTCTAGTATGAAACAAAAGGAAAAATAACCAGCAAACTAAGCCCTTAATCAATTGAAAATTATGTTGTGCTAATGAGACATAGCTAAATATATGCTCAGTGTCACTCTGAAATGTGACAACCCCCCATATTACTTTTCCTGTGGCAGAATTCGAAAATAAATTGAACAAGCACAAGTTGCTTTATATTGCTGCAGTATAGCTATGTTAAAGATGGCAACACCAACTTCCCAAAAGCAGGCAGAACATTTCCAATTTTAAAATGAATTACATTAATGTTTTAGATATAATCTGAACACTTCTATACTCACATATAATCTATCATTTTTAAACTTGCCTCAGCATTTCAGCGTAAAACCCCCTAGTTTCATCAAGTTTCATCTTGAATTCATCACCTTCTATCTCGACCAGGCTCAAACTCAACAGAAAAATCTTTAGAACTCAGCATTAATTGAAGTACATACTGTTGGAGTGCCAGGTTTCTAGCTTGGGCATCACATAAATTTTCGCACTGCTGGGATCATACGGTTGTTTGCTAATACGCAAAGAGGTAAGAAAGCGAGCCTAACTCTGAGAGTCCGTAACAGTAACTCGGAGCATCCCAAAGCTCTCTGAAATTATATTCGTATTGCAGCCTCCCGATCTCTGTTTCTAAGTTAAGAATGACTTCTTTGCAGCCACTCCAGGAAAATGGCAATCTTCTGGCATTGAGCACTCCTGCTTGAAACACGTGATACCATCAAAGAAGTGCAAGCAGTGCTTTGCAGGTAAGAAACAAGGCGGTATCTTGTACACAATCTAATCAAGCATCAGAGAAATAATGCAGGTTGAGGGAAGAGGATGTAAAACAAGTCTACATGTGGCTGTGCTTGTCTGCAGTCACATACAAGCCAAGTACTCTCAGAATCAAAAGCAAACAGTTTCTCGGTGCAAACAATTTGCATTCATTAACTATTATTTTTTGGTTTATGTGGAAATCTGAGTGGCATGGGTTGGTGCAGGGGCTAGTAAGGCTAGGCTGGCCTAATACATTTCAAAAAGTGATAAGCCTTGCCAAATTTCAGGAAAGAATATACCTATAGGCAAGTTACTGCAATGTGCTGGCAGGTAATAAAAAAAAAAGTAAGAAAGAAAGAAACAATGGCTCAAAACACGAGCAATTATCACTGATTACAACAAACCTACTGTACAGTAGAAGAAACAGTTGGATACAAACACTGCCCCCTCTCCTTTTCCTCCCAAGTCAAAGACCAACTTAATGCAAAACCAATCTGAATTTACCTGCAGGTTCCAGGTTTGTTTGACATACTCTCTGATGAGGTTCTCCTTCAAATCTTCAAATGGTCCTGTTTTAGGCTCCACACCTGGTGGTCGATTGAAAGGTTTTCTCAGCAGACAGATAAGGCCATCGGCTTCTTCCGAGTGCTCCCTCTCAATTGTATAGTGATGAACTTTCCTTCCATGGGCCAAAGATAAGGCAAAGCCACCAAGGTAATTTCGACTTTGGCGGAGCAGGAACAGTCCATCACTCACTCCTCCTTGCATCAGATACTCTTCAGCCTCCTCACGTGTAATATTGCCAAAGAAGTATGGCAGGTGGTTAGCAGGGTTGGCTGGGTTGGAAGCCATGCTTATTTTCTTTCCAATAACCAATTTAAGGCTTTGTATCTGAAAGGGAATAAAGCAATGTGAGTATCAGTCAAAAAAAAAATAGGGGAATAAACTCACATGACTGTCCACACATGGTGTGTTGGTAACACATTTCTGAAAAGCTTTTTGGAAAAAGTTTGCATTTGTTACAACATGTCTTTCCAAATCCCAGTGAAAAGTTTCCCCCTCTTATACAGTAATTAAAGCAGTTTCCTATGGTACTATAAGAGATTCCTATACCTCTTTCACTCTCCACTGGTCCTTGTCTAGACATACCGACTCCTCTAATATTTTATCTGAGTACCTCTATTTATCCTGCTGTTCCAGCCTTGAGGTGTTTCCCAATAAAAGAAGTTAGCTACGTAGGAAAGATTCAGTGAAAACAATTCTTTGTTCCAGTTTTGTTCCATTACAATCCTCTTTATAATGGCTTTCTAACTGGCTTATCCTACAATGGTTAAAAGTCATATATTAAAATATTTAATATTCTTGTCTCATAGATTTTTTTTCACAGAACACCACCTGCAGCACTCTAATAGAGAAAAAGAACGCAAACTAGTATGATAGTGCCATTTTGAACAGCTTTCATTTTGAGTAGCTTACTTATATTGAAATCGTATAAAGACATACTACTGATAAAAATACAGAAGAAAAAGATCAGCATTCCTGAAGAATAATAATGAAGACAATATATATAGTTTTAATTCTTGTTCTTAACATTTAAGATATCCTCTTTAATTTATATATTTCAAGAAGAACACACAATGACTTTGTAGGACATTGCCTGTACCATGCCACTCCTCTTGTGCTCTCTCTTTCCCGAGCTATCGCAGCCTCTACGTACATTGTGAGCAGGAAAACTCATTTTCATTAAGACCTATGGCAAATTTACCCTGCCTGGACAACTAGGTGTGTGCTGAAATCACCTTCAACTCTTTCAAGTCACTGGAGACACCAAAATGCAAAAGCTAGGTTTCATTTTCTTATTAGTGACATTTAAATGACTAGCTAATGAATACAGGAAAGAATATCTTAACTACTTGCTGAAAACATTTAAGTGAACAGGCAAAGAATAAATTAGACACCAGTATTTACGAAAGTATATATATATATGTTTTTTAAAACCACAAATGCAATTACTTATGTTATCCTGAATCCACTAATTGAGTCTTGTTTCCTGCAACATTACGAGTTTTCATATGCTTTCCCCGCAAATGCATCCAAAATCCAACCACGTTTTCTACAGGAACAGCCACAGATCATTACATCCATCTAGGAACAGTTCAACACTATCTTTCAACCTAGAAAGAGTCACTTCTGAAGGAAAAAAGAACAGTGAAGTGTTTGTGCATCCACAAACTTATCATTTGAAAATGACTTTCAGAGAATACTTGAAAAGCTGAATACAACTAGCAGTATATCTTTATATTGTATTATATGTGCTTACTATATGATTTTTTTCCCCTTACGAAATATCTCACAAGTTAACTGTCAAAATTTTGATTTACTTGTCCTTTAAGTTTAGTTGTGACAACCTAATTTTTAATACTCAAGTGCAGACAATACTGCATCAGACAGACTCTCTTACCCGTAAGTGGATTATCCAGACACAGGTTAACTAAGCAACGCTACAAGCATTACAAAACAAAACACCGTTATTTCTTATGAGATCACTAAATCTCTCTCTCTCTCTTTTTTTTTTTCCTGAAGTGTACGTATACTAAATAAAAAGCCCATATTTACTCTACAAAATATATCTTTGTTTCTTTATTTTATCTAGGTGACTGCAGCTCCCTTTTCTCACTTTCCACTACCTTGAATAAAAGCAGACAATAGGATCAGCAGTTGAGTTCCTGTTCTTAACTGTTGTGCAGAATCTGCAACAGCAGAATGAATGTGCTCTTCGCAGTTAAAAGGAAAGACTAGATTTTAGGGATGCCATGCAAGCAGCCTGTGGAATTAGCATGAAATAACCAGGAGATATGTGAACTGGGTTAAAAGACGTCTCAGCTTGCAGGCAGCTGAGGTATGAGACCATTTGCTGAGTCACATGAACATGGTTGGAGAGGACTTTTCGGCCGGAGATGCTTCAAGCTGACCACTTCCCTGGTCAACCCCCACAGACCCAGTCAGTCTCATACTTGGGATCAAGAAGCATGATGGAAATATCTGTGCTGCTTCATGAAGATGTGAGGTGCAGGCAAAGCACAGTACTCACACCAGATGGAAAACCAGGTCCCGCCCTGTCACCTGTTGTGTGAATCTGCTCATCTTCTGCCTTCCAAGGGAAAAATTAGAGCTGTGAAGCTACTGCAGCTCTACAAAACAGACACGCATACACCATCTTATTTATTACTCTTGCGGTCTGCAACCAAAAGTCAGTGGTTTAAGATAATCACTTACTAAGCTTAGGGTAACATTTCTGTCATTTTTGTTGACAAAGGTTGCATGTCATCAATCTAACTACCAAGCAGAGCAGTATGAAACAGGTTTGCTGCTAGGTTTTCAAGGGGGTTGTAGAAACTGATAGAAAAATCCAGCATGATTGCAACCAAGCAAGAGGACAATGGCTGCCAAACTTTAATGTCAACAGCATATTGGTGAGCCTGGCCAAATATGACACAGTGTAATCCAGTTTGGCCCTGCACCAGAGCTGTACAGCTCAATGCACATAACTGGAAAGAAAGCCAAGACAGCCCCATAATAGTTCTCACACCAAGAATGCGGCATACGTTGCATGGTAGTTGTTTAAAACATCTCAGAAATACTGTCGCGAGCAGAAGTCACATAGAAAAATGCCACCCCACTCTCTACCTGTGAGAATTTATTTTCAGGGAAAATGAAAATGCATCCTTTTCAAAGCACATGCAGTTTTGGACTTATACATGTACAAAAAAAAATTTACAAGGAATCATGTTCATGCTCTCTGGTGATATAATGGTTACAGAAATTAAAATCTGTTTTTTCTTTGTCATGTTTGAGATAAAGGTATTTCTGAGACTATTGCTTAGCCTCAGATTTGCTAGACTTCTTCAGAATTAATCAGCCAGACACAAGTTCTCTTTGGTGGTCTGTTTTTGCACGACTTGTGATCATGCATTTTTCTATTGCTGATGATTCAACATTCTGAATGCTGAATTGTAAAATAATTGTTTAAAACACTCCTGTATCTATCCATTAGAAGTCACAGCACATACAGAAAGGTATGATAGGTATGCCCAGCGAGAGGACCAACAGCCTCCAAGTAAAACATCTGTTTCTAAAAGATGTTCTGAATTTCTCTCCAGATGGGCAGCATTCTTTGCCATACCAAGTTAATTTGAACTATTAACCTCGGAGACAGGGAGTAGCGAACCTGGTGCAGCAGGACATTCATTCCGAGTTTAAAAGTTCACCTGGAAAGCAGGGCAAATGCCCTGGAAACTAGTCAGTGCTCTATTTCACGCTGCTGCTTTGGCATGGCTGCATGCTTTTGGTTGCTTTTACCAAACCATCAGATCTGAAAATAGTTCAAGTGTTTCTACGCAAGCTGCAGCTGTGAATTTGACTGTCAGATATGAGCTGGTAAGGCTAGGACTTAAACCCCGCCCGAGGCGAGGCCAGAGATGTGTTGTGTTGGGAGGCTCCGCTGACGGGGAACTGTGGGACTGGACCCGACTCTTGTTACTTCTTGCTGCACCTTGAATTTTAGTGACCCTCAACTGGCCGGCCTGCTAATATGCAGTCTTCTGTCTGTCTGTGCTGTCTTCAAGTCTGTTGCCTGAATTCTTCACATCATTCTACACTTAAAGCCCATTACAATCCATTTTAAGATAGAAAGAAATAATTTTTACCCTGGATGGTCAGAATTAAGTTTGCCATCGAAAGGGAATTGCTTTTGACAAATTCTGTTCTTACACATTCCTTTCTAGCATAGAATTATGGAATGCCTGTCACTATGTTGCCCTCTAGTATTAACCGTTTGCTTCATTAAAGCAATTAGAGAGTTTGTGAATTAGAGTCAAAGCTTCACTCTGACTAAAGATGGGCCATGAAAAAACTGTAGTTGTTACACAGGTGTAGAATCACTGAAATGAAATGCCCAAATTAAATCTGCTAAAAATCTTGCCTTCAGGGGTTCTTTTCTTACTATTCAGTGACATAGATTTCTCTTATTTTTCTTCAAAGTAGTATTTAAACATGGCAAAGGAATAGAAATCAAAAGTTAAAAGAAGGTTCTAATAAAACTCTCCAAAAAATATCACAGAAGCCATTGGGATGAATCCTGTATGGCTATTCAAAGAGTGGGTCCAAGGATTGGACTCCATTGTCTCTTTTTATTCAGTTTGACAGAAAACCAAGCCTCCCAATCTTGAAAAAGTATCATCAGCAGCATCGGCAAAAAGGCAAAGCCTGCTTCTTTAGAAATCCAGAAAAAAAAAATGAAACGTTAAGTGATTATTTCACATCAAACTCATTTCACAAATTCCGGAACTCGGCTTGACAGCATCACAGATGGAGAGAAGAAAACATTTAAAGGGAGGGTAGATATGGTGGAGTGTTGTCTGGTAAAAGGTGATATCTGTGATAGGTCTGTATTCAAATATCTTAGATTTCTTATTGACACTACGACCTCAATAACAGCCATAGGCAAACCGCTCTGCAATCTCCAGCTAGTGAAGACACTTCATTTCACCATAATGATGTGGCCTCTGCAACTTAGGTATTTGCAAGACCAGAATGCCTATGATATCCCAAGATTGCCCAGAATATTTATTTGAGAAGTCTCCACTCCTTTGGTAAACGCATTAAAACGCATCTCTTCTGCAACACAGTCTACCATGTATGTGTTGCATCTGTCACTTGTTATATTCCTACTACAGTGAACTCTAAGCCCAATAAAATACTTATTTTTCATAATCTTTAATGTGCTGGATGCTGCAATACAAAGACTGCTTTCTGCGGATGGTGGCACTTCTTTGGCACAACAGCTTCTTCTAAGAGGAGGTTAAATCCTGCCTGAGTAGAA